TTAATTTGCGATTAGGATTTGCAATAAAAGTCTATATCACAGTGGATGCTGTTGATAAAATTTGAATTTGCTACACGTTGCCTCTCTCTTAGCGGCTGGGTCACTTAACATAGTTATTGAATTAAATAGTTTTCTGGATTTGCAAAATATGCTGATCATAAAGTAATCAAGAGGGCTGGGTTTGTGCAGTACAAAAAAAAAATCCTAAGCAGGGTTAAATCTTACCATGCTTAGCATATTGTACAAATGCATCCACTAGCTCTTTAACTAACCTGATTATGCATGTTGTGCAAACCAGACTTTCTGTATATGCTGTTCCTAGTACTTTGCAAACCAGTTGCAAAATAAATTACTGTTCTAATTTGAATTTGCTCCCTCCAAAAGAAATGGCAAGCCCCTTGGAAAACATGAATGACTTGGCATTGCACAACATGTACACTCCCAATCAAAGCAGCCTCCCAATGACTGCACTTCCTTATGGTTTACACAGATTTCACTTTGTGTATGCAGGGGTCAGGAACTTGTTGTAGAGCAGGGGCTTTGCTTTCCTTTACAGTGGTGAAACTGCAGCACGTAAACCTCAGCTTCTTCGCTCTTGAAGACTGTTGACTCACCCAAGGCCTGTGAGCATGTATAAGCTTGCTCCTCAGCTGGTTCTTGCTTTAACTCAGCTGCATCACCCCTTGTTCTCCAATGGATCTATTGCCTTGGAGGCAGTTGATGAAGCAACTGCAGTTTGCTAATTCTTTTGCAAGAGCTGCAGGGTCAGTTTGTGATGTTTATTAAACACTAAGATTTGAATTTAGATAAAGCAGGTAGCCTTCTCAGCCAAATGACAATTGCAGCATTACAAGGCAACATGGGAGAGTCCAGGTGGGGCCCTAGCAATCCATCAGTTCCTACCAAACTGATCCTCCATTTCCATCTTAATCCTGTGTCACGGTTGTATTGAATTCCTTTTCTTCCCAGAATACTTGGATTGCTTTGATGGCAGGTTCTGTCCCATTGTCATGATGTCTGAGACAGCAGACTAGCTTAGGAAGCCTGGAAGAAGCCACTGGCAGACTCAGCTCTATCCTCTAACAGAGAAACAGAAACAGCCAGAGGGTGGAGGAATCACACCACTAACCTCTAGCATACAGTGTCTTGGGTAGGGTAACACCTTTATGAGGACTAACCTAGAAGTTACAGAATACACAGTAAGCTTTGTGCAGTTCTTCTTCAGCTACATCTTATATTAAACAGAAACAATATGAGGGTGTGTGTTGGGGGTGGTGAGGAGAGGAAACCTCCAGTATGACCCACTGTGTGTAGAAAATGTAGAATAAAATTTGTTTTGCATCAGATTCATGAGAGAGGCATAGGCTTTTGGTATATTTGTAGGAGGGATCCTGTGCGATGTTAGTTAATGGACCCAGGAAGATTATGTTTAGATCCTAGACCTGAATCAACTTACCATTTATTTATTACTTCTGTGGCAAAAAGAATTCTGTAAAATACATCTGAGATTGAGCAAGGCTGTTTTGACTATTTTCAGTTCACTTTAGGATACTAAGAGCATGGACATATTTCTGTTTTCAAGTCTAGAGCTCACAAAGAACTGACAGCCAATCAGTGCTTGTTCTTTTTGACTAATAGCTGAGGACAGATAATTGTCAGCCAACCAGTGTTTGCTTACCAGCCTGTAACTGACTGCCTCATGTTGCCCACTCAGATCCATATCAAAACATGCTTCCTTCCCCCTCCTCACCAAAATAAAAGAAAGAAATAGCTAACATTCCCATATTAATCTCTTCACCATAATGGCAAACCTCCTTTGCTTTTCAGATTCTTAATACCGATGTGCTGGCAATTCTACATTTGCTTAATCATGCCAGCAGGCCTGGGGTCAGTGTGTCTGTGGAACCCCTGTCACGTTTTTCATCTTTATGATTGTTTTTAGTGTGGGCTGTCACATTTGTTTCATGTTTTTAACTATTTTAATTGTATATTTCGATACTATAAGCCACCCAGGGTCTATTGCAGTGGGGGCCATAATAAATAAATAAATAAATAAATAATGCTACTAAAAACTGACCCCCCTCCAGTAAGAACACAGAACATAGCTTCAAACACAAGACGGCAACCTGTTGCTGTTTCTGAGGCTTCATTCATTGTCTTGAGGGGTGTATCAGAGTTGCCCAAAGATATAGCTTCTTGAGTACACCACTGTTTGATCAACAAGGAGCTCATTTTGCCCCACAGTTGGTAGAGGACTTTCCTCTGAAAAATCCCATATAACCAGTAAATATCAGAATTATATCAGTTGTTCCAAAGTAGACATCACACCCACAGAAACTTTGTTGGCATAATTCAAATTATACTTGTTAAGGAAGCAAACATTTGCTTTTCACATTCAACTTCGAGTTCAAGTGACTTCTGTATGAGAAAAGGGAGGTGTTATTGCTTTGCCATTTGCTTCACGTAACAAAACATCTTATGCCAGTCCTGGATTAGATAGATTACTGGAAGATAAATCTGTAAATGGTAACAAATTGTAATGGCCATACATAATCTCCAAGTTAAGAAGCTGTAAGCAGGGCACGCTGGAAAACAATTGCAAGAGAAGGGCATTGCTTTCTCTGCGCTGCTCTTGGATTACCCGGGAGCCCGTGTTCACACATTATGGGAAATAGAATTCTGTATTTCAGTCTTACTGGTATCCTCTTGTTAGGTCAAATTAAAACTTCCAGAACTCCCTGGAAGCACGAGAGGGCAGCAAGTTTGGGAAAGCTGTTGTCCTAAATGTACTTTGGTGTGATCCTTCAGGCTCTGCTTACATTCTCATAAACAACCAAAGACACCGTATATAGTCAGAATGAAAACATAACCACAGTAAAAATAACTACAACATATTCGTGCTTTGCTATGGATGGCTAGCATGTCAAGCTCAGAAGGTATAATTCTCTGAAGAATTAAGAAGAGTAGCTCTTGTATCTATAGTATCAGACCTGGACTGGAAGGAAAGTGCCTGAAGTCACTGTTGGTGCCCCTGTTCCATTTAGTTTTGCCTTAGAAACACATGTGGACACACACATACATACTCATGCCACCACCAGGGCAATGATGCTGTGAATTCTTCACAGCATCTAGCAGCAAAGATTTCCTGTTCAGGTTAAGAGGTGTGAAACTCACTCACTTCTTGTTTCTTAGTACTGTAAATTCAGTTTTTCCCCATGGTTCTCAGGTCATACCATCCAAAATTTGCAGCGAGTTTTACTTTTAAAAATTTATGTTTGTCCTCTTTTCTCATAGCCAGTCAAAAAACAGCAGTTTGGAATCTAGCAGAAACATACTGCTGTAAAAGCAACTGGACACACATGGGTGTGTGGGCTAACCTGAGTTTTAGAACTGTAAGGAAATATATGTGAGGAAGCTTACATTCCAGCACAGAGAGGAATTATCAAAAGGGAGGAGCTAAACATCATCAAATAGGCTTTGGAACAATAAGAAATAGTGAGCGTCAAGAGTTTAATCACAGGAAATTGATGGTTGCTGAAAGGAGAAGTCCCTAAAAGCTCTGTTATTCTCCCCACCAACATAGTGCTGTGAGTGGATAGGGATTTCTTGAACTGCTTGAAATGGACTATAGAAAACTACAAGAAACTTTCCTTCAAAAGTCACATCAAAGTAAAGCAGGATTTAAAATAGGATAAAATTAAATGTGTCTGTCCTTCAGTTTGATCTTGCAATATTGGATGAATTCTGGGGTTTTGGTGGCTTTGAATTGATGTTTATTCCACCTTCATTTACTGGGAGCTGGGAAGATCTCATCTGCCATGTTCGTGCTGGCGAGCAGGCATCTCCAAGGAGTTTATTATCCCTGGTTCAAACAATGGCCAGTTGAATCTGTTTTTATTTCATGCTTCAAGTAAAAGGTTATCAGGAGAGTTTATAGATGATTAAAATACAATAACATGCAATAATAATAATTAATTTATTAATAATGTATTAAATTTATACGCTACCTGACTCCCAGCAACTATGGACACTATATAGACCTGGCTTATTGTAATAATCCCTAGATACGTATGCAGTATACAGGTATCCTAGGAAAATAATTGAGCAAGAATGCTGACAACTCTTTTTCATATACTACACTGTTATCTCATTCTGTCGTGGAGAAAATCTATGTGGTCGTTAGGAGTCAATAGCGACTGAATGGCACATAATCAATATCTCATTCATAGAACTTCACTTCTCTCTTACATCCTAAAAGCAGAGTGAATGACAACTAAAGTTAAAGCCCGTAGTGTAAATAATCCAGTGGGAATGACTTTGCTTTCCTCCTCATAATTCTGTTTGGCCTGATGTAACCAAGGCCTAGGCCAAAGTGTGAACATTTTACAGTGTCTGACCAGAAAGACTGGCATGCGCAGTTCAAGGTTATGTATGTTGAAACAAACTACACGCCTCTTTAGGTGGAAATGCAATTAATGGCAACAAATAATAAAACCTTCTTGATTGTAACCAACAGCATTCCAGAATATTTTGCCCTGTTAAGCATGCGTGATTCTTCTGGTTATCCTTGGCTGGATAGTAAAGATCTTTTGCCATCAGAAAATGTATTGTTTCACGTATAATTTTTTTCCTCCTGTGGATTCAGTGTCTTAGAGCATTAGACTTTGGTGTATAAGAAACATGTTTTGGGGCCGGTATTCTCTTTCAAAAAGACCCAGTGACATTAAGGTTCAAACTCATTCAGAGTAGGAGAATGAGAGTTCTGATTTTAGAGATAAAAGTATGTGGTTAGAAGGAGCCAAAACGTTGTCTCAGTTATAGCTTATCTCCATACAATTTGTCTGCCTTCTTTCCAGTGTATGTTTCTTTTCAACCAAGCTCCATATATGGAAAAGTCTACCAGCAAATAAGGTTCACTTAATTTCCCCACTGAGTAACTGCATCACGGTCCATATCAATTCTAAGAGCTAGGGTTTTAGATCTTTCTCTTTCCTTTCCAGGTTCCTGGAACATAAACAACTTTGTGGATCGGTTTCAGCTCGGAACACCTGTGGCTTCAACCCAGTTTATCACTAAGAATTACCATGACTAGCAATAGAAGCACCAACAACCCTTTTGCTCTGAATGATTTAGCTTGCATTCTTCCTTTGGAGCACTCCAAATCAGAGTGAATCTTTCTCTTTATTCAACAAGCATGGGCTGGATTTTTGCCAGATCTGTGGGCTTTATAGAGCTGGCTCTGCTTTTATTTTAGGATTCATAATGTTATTCAACTGGCCTTAGTGGAATTGTATAGTCATTCCTAGCATTCTACAGCACATATCACAGAAAATGTAATGGATTCATTGCAGAATTTGGATGGCCTTAAAATTAAGTATGGATTCCAAATTCTTCTCATGTGAGCCTGGAAGCAAAGTGACAATGTAGTAACCAACCTATAACTCTTCCTTATACACATAACCATTGCCCCCTACCAGCTTTCTGGGAAATGTGTCTTCTATTAAAATTCTATCCAGCTATGACAAATAAAGTAAATAAACAAACACATCTGTAAGAATATTCTCTCCAAAGTGTTTTTTCCTATCGAAAGGTCTATAGCTTGGTCATGCCCAGCAGTCACACATGTTCTAGCCTCATATTTAAGGTATTCCATTGACATCAAATTATCTTATTATACTCTTTTATAATGCTCTTGTTCTTTGTATGTACACATGTACATTTCACCTTTTAAATAATATCTGCTATGTATTGCAGCATTCAATTAAAAAATAGCATTTCATCCCTGCTTTCTCAAGATTTTTTTACTGTGCAGTTGGGAAACAGAATCTCACTGAAATAGGACCTGGCATGAGATTTATATTATACTGTTATATTTTTTTTTCTGACTTCTGTCCTTCTATATAATTCTACAGAGCCTTCAGGATAGCATACAACACAAATGGATAAATCAACAACAGACAACTGCAACACTGGAAATGCGGAGAATTAGAAACAACTTTAAAGTATTATTAATACCCTCATTTACTCTGTTACAGCGCTTAGACACTAATTTGGAATATGAGTTGTTCTAAATAATTTCCATACTTGAAATAATCAAATTACTTTGATTACAGAAGCTTCCAAACTTGACTTTATTTTCCACATTTGTATGGTGTCTATGCAATGACATTGCCATAGTTGAGGAAACCGCTGGGTGAGATACTTTATGCCTGCACTCACACCACTGGGTGCTCCACCATCACCCCAGTTGTTCCCCCCGACCAATTCTTTCACTTTCTCCCCTGCCACACACACATTTGTATTATTTTTTTCCACTCTTACTCTCCCAACCTATTACGTGGCAATCAAATTAGCACCTTTGCTTTTTCTCTTTCCTTTACTTTTAAAAGGAATTGTGCATCTGCAAAGCAGCAGTTTGTTTCCCCAGAGAGCTTCTAAGGGAGGAAAGGGGGCTAAACACGATTTCCGCCTTTTTTTCATTAAATGAAAGAAAGCAGCTATTGTATGTGTGGACCCAACCTCAGGATTCCTTCTCCAGCAACCCATTTGTATTCAGATACATCCTAGAGTGCTTCTACTTTGGAAGAAGTAATTTTCAGTCTGGAAGGGTCTCGGTTCAGTCAATGAGAACAATCAATGCAAATCATCCTTCAGCTCCAGTGAAATCTGGCCTTGATAACAAATACATGGCTTCACCAAAATTTTAAGATGCATTGTGAGAAAAAGGAACAAAGCTGTAAACCAATTTCATATATTTTTGACCCATTCTATTCATAAGTCACATGAGTGTCTATCACAGTTCCATTTCCAGTGTGATGTAAGTTTCATAAGAGCCAATTATATTCTTCTCAGTGAGGCTGAAGAAAAAAGTTTAAAAAAGAGAGGAAGCTTGCGTTAGGGGTGTAACTTACCACAAGCAAAGAGGAAGAATGTCCAAAACACATAACTCTACTTACTGGGTGAGTTAAAATTAGAACCAAGAGGAAATGACAATTTAGCATGTCATGGGAGTCAGCTAAAGTGGGTCCTCTCCTTTTTTATATTTATCATTTGCACAGGGTGTAATTGGTGTTTCAGATTAAGGCCAAGGAGCCAGTAGAAATGAAAGGTCACACTTTGTTGACATCCCGTCATCAGATTGTAGTCATCCTTTCCTCTCTGCCTTTAATTCCTTGTGGTGAGCATGTTTACTTTCAGGAGAAAAGGAGCAGAGAGAGTCGGATGTTTACCTCTCTAGGAAATTATCGCCATAGTTTTCCCCCTCTTTTTTGCTTTTAATTGACATATAAGAGAGGAGAAAATGCTAGGGAAACCACACTTGTGTATATTTCATTGCTAGGCCTGCACTCTCAGTTGAGTTCAAATTGAAATTCTAGTTGGGTGGCAGGGCTTTATGTAGAAATACTACAATTAGAAAATGCTAGGGAAACCACACTTGTGTATATTTCATTGCTAGGCCTGCACTCTCAGTTGAGTTCAAATTGAAATTCTAGTTGGGTGGCAGGGCTTTATGTAGAAATACTACAATTCTCAAATGATATTAGGACTATTGACTCACATTTTGGTACGGCCTCACCCAGAAAGACCAGAAGTGGGGACAGGAGAGGGCAGTGTTGTGGTATCTGATATCCACCAGGAGGCATCGAGCAATTAAACTAGTCCTTGAGAAAATGTAAGGAAGAACTAAATGTCCAAGCCAAGTTCAGATTTGGCAAGTGTCATTAACCTTCAAAGAACAAATCTTGAGTTTTCATCACATACCACGTTTGCAAAAGACAGTATCAGACTATTTTGTTAATGTATAATTCCATTTGTGGCTTAATTGCAATTTTTGGGTTGCAATTTTATGTTTCCTTGCTTGGGAGAAGTCTCACTTAATTCAATTAGGCTTACTCTCAGGTAAACCTCCTGATGTGTTGTCATCAAACATGACTTCATTTTGTCTTTTTCTGGGATTTTTATCTTTACTGGCTGTGTTTGTAATCCTATGTTAGCTGCCTAGAGTTGTAATTTGCACATGGGGCCGGCATAAAAATTCCTTCAATACTGTAAATAAATAGATTTTATTTTACAGTGTTTGCAACCCATCTCAATCTGCAGGTATTGAGTGGTGTATAGCAGAGTAAAACATAAAGAAAAAGGCATAAAATTAATAACCACTTCAACGTGTTTTCTACTAAACAGTCAACATGGGTTAAAAGCCCAGCTGAACAGGGTTGTTTTGATGAATTCACAAAATACCAGGGGGAAGTGAGGGAAGCTGTATGAACCTCTGGGGGCAATCAGCTCCAGAGAAGGGGGCCTTATCAGAAAAGCCTACTATCTGATCTATCTCCCCCTAACCTCATCTGTGGAAAGATTCTTGGAAGGCCTTCTCATGATGTCACTAGATGGACAGATACAATCCTGGTGCCTGATGTAACCCAGTACTATGTTGTATAGAGCTTTGTACTCTGACCAGCACCAGCACTGGGTCTGAAAGCCTACTGGTGCAATGATTTTAATAGCGCTGTTGTCTTCCAATGGGGAAGTTGCCCCATCAGCAGTCTAGCTAGCATATTCTGGATCTTCTGCCGCTCCAGAGTCGTCCAAAGGCTGCCCCTTAAGTAGTGCATGTTTCAGTCATGCAGCACATCAAATATTCCACTTATTAATCCTTGCTATTTATATTATGCATTATTTGTATTATTTATTATATGAGAACAAAAATGTTCTGAATTAAAATTTAAACAAATCAATTAGTTGTAGATTCATCATACAGTTTTCAAGCCTGAGTGAGTTTATTAGTAAAGCCCTGCATGGATGAGGGAGGTTTTGTGTGGTAGCATATCACATGACTTGACAGAGCTGAAAGTGGGAGATCTGTAGTCACATCCTACTTTGATCTTGAATTTATTATGCCAGTAGTAGCAAAGTGATTTGATAATGTCAGGGTTGAGGAACTGTTGTTAAAAGCAAAGCCAGTACTCTGTGATAAAATCAAGGGAGGGAGGGTTGACATTGGTTGCATCTGCAACCGGCTGTTGAAAATTGTTCCCCTTGGTCACCCAACATTGTCTTCATCTCATTTCTACCCCATGAGTTGAAACAGTCTTAAAGCATCTTTAGATGTACCAGTTTAAAATAGTGAGGAAATAATATTTCCCCCCTAGGACAATGCTATATCAACACAAGCTTCAAGGAGTACATCTGTAATGTTGTGTCTGCCATTATCTTGGAGGCGCTATGTGAGATCAGAGGTATATTTTGGAAGGTGCAAACTGCTCCCTTCCTTTGGCCATTCAGCCCACCTCTAGGACAGCCATTACTCTCCCAGCACTTGCCCTCTCTATTACTGCTATGTTTCCTGAGTTGCTTTCATACCTGACATCTCCTGCCCTCTTAACTTTGACAACTTCTGTTCAGGCTTTCAGCAAGTTAGAGGAGGGCAGCACAGTTTTGCTGAGGGTGAGGAGATGCTCACATGGAGTTGAGTGGAGAGACAGACAAACCAGAGAAATCCAGGCAGAGTCCCAAAGTCAGGCTTTCTTCATTCCTACTTGGTGGATGTTTTCTTCATTGGGTTTTACTAGTTGAGAGGGTGTGGCAGTAATGCCAGAAGGGGGGAAAAGTCAGCCTTACAAGGAGCAGTGCTCTCACAAGACTAGATGCCATTTGGTTGTGACTCAGAACAGACACAGCCAAGATAGGATAAAGATTGACAACCTTTTGTGCCAGCATTGGACAGTATGGATGGACAGTATGTTGTCAGGATCCTCACCAGTGACTTACATACAACAACTTGTAGAATGACCAGCCATAATGAAAATAGGGTTCTTCATTTCAGTAATGGCTAGATGACATTACAAGATACTATGTCAGTAGTGGGAAGAGTACTTTATGATTATTGTTGTTGTAATCTCCCTAGAATGAAACAAGTAAGCAGCATAAATATGTTCCTTATTTAAATAAACGCATGACCTTAAAGGTGCACAACAGCTTGACAAAAGTTTTGAGAAATTTTGCATTTATTATTTGCAGCAACTCCAGATTGGTCTATATACCCCTATTTTACCCATGCCCTTGTAACACTGCCTTGTCCCATTCAAGACAATGGTCTGTGCTGCCTTTGTCTGCTATTTTCCATACCACAAATACCTGGTAGTCACAAAGCACAGAGGTTAACTAAGAGAGTCAGAACAATACAGCATATGATTATGCCAACAGCTCTTTATAACACCAGAGCCAATGGTTGTGTTCCACTAAACACTCTTCCATTTGAAGTCAAATAGAGGGGAATAAGGTAATTGCTGAAGAATTCCTGAGCTTCCTTGATAATTAGAAAAAAAGATTGCTAGGCTGAGGAGGAAGACAGTCGGATGTTACTAATAATCATCTCTCCTCTTGAGACTAAAGGGGAACAAACCAAATGACTTGAATCTGCAGGAACCATCTCCCTCCTTCCTCTTTGCTCACACCTCTCAACCAGAACAGGAATAAGTGCAACTTAGAGGGTTATGGTAAGACCAAATGCACTATGACAGAGCAGTTTAGACCAAATCAAAGTTATAGAAGACTATTTCATTTTGAAGTGGGAATGAATGTATGCTTGGTAGAAATGGTTTTTTAAGTGCCATCTTAAGAGGAGAACCTTGCCTGATTTGTGGTTTTGAAGAACAGTGAACTTCCTCATATCTTTCTTGCCACCATGACCAATTTAACCCAGATTGATAATACTGTGCTCAAAAATTTGGACCCACAACAAAATGTTGTAGAATACCTTCAATTTTCCAAAATTCTA